CTTCCGGCTTTTTTCTTATGTGGTGCTGAGGAATTGAACCCAGGGCCTCATGCATGCAAGGCAAGCGCTCTACCACTGAGCTACCTTCCCAGCCCTGGGATAAAGATATCTTTTTTCTCCATGTAATTCAAGCAAACTGTTCCCGTGTCATTTACAAAATCTTTTCTCCAGGATTTGTGGTGGTGTTTGTTTCTATTCTGTGCCCTGGTCTCAACTTGTTTGTTCCTGCCTTTAAACTCACATGTTTTCAATTTCCATGGCTTTATAAATGCTGTCTCATGTTTTTGCCTGGGCTGGCTTCAAACAAGACCCTCCGGCCTCTACCTCCTGAGTAGCTGGATTACAGGCGTGCACCACCACCCCTGGTCTCATGCTTGCCTTCTTGTGAGGAAGACATCCCAAAGCAAATGAGAAGGCCTTACTCCCAGGAAGGAAGCTATGTCACCATCAGAACAGGCCTGATGGCCACAGTGGGCACCCAATGTTGAGGCACTGGTTTGGAGGACAAACAGACTCATCTTAACTGAGTCCAGCGGCTCCCAACCCAGGGCAGGCCTGCCTCCCAGGGGACATGTGGCAAATGTCCAGAGATCTATGTGGGTGTGCAGGAAAAGGGGCAGGAGAGCAGATGCTGGTCTGTGCCCTGCAATACACAGGTTGCCTCCCACAGCAAGGTGTCAAGAGGGGTGGGGGAGGGTGGGGAAGAGATTGCTCTCCATGTACTCCAGGTGGAAGAAAGGAGACAAAGTAGACAGAAAGACCTCCAGAAGCTTTGTACTGGCGGCCTGCACAAACATTTCTTCTCCCTCACCCTTCCCAAGCTGCTGACAAAACCCACATGGCCTGGCTGTCACCTTCCCCACAATCCACATAAGTGATTGTCATCTTTATCTTGGTGACAGGACCCAGGCCCTCTCCAAATGGCACAAGCCTGAAGTCCCCACCCCTGGGAAACTAGGGAGCGATAGACAGTGCTCCAAGCCCCAGTGCATCCCAGAACAGAGACTGCATTTTCATAGGCTGGAAATCAGGAACACAGCAGCCATGAAAAGCCGAGAAAACAAGGCACTCATATGCCCTCAGCACTGTGGATGTGCCCCAGTGACCCAGAGGATTCATGGGAATGGGAGGCACTCTTATTTCCATACCCTCAGAAGCTCCTGCAGCCTCCTCTACCCTGGGTTTGCTGGGGACCCCAGTGACTTGGCAGAAGCTGTGCCTGCTGTGTCCTGGGAGCCTCTGAGGGGCACTGAACTGCTCCTAGCCGCACAAGCTCTGACACTGCTTCAGCTGCAAAGCACCAACTCCTAATCCAGGAATGCAAAGGACCAGCTGATAACATCTCTGTGACAAGGGCCTGATACTGATTCCCAGGAAAGCAGGCAGAGCCCAAATGAGGACCAACCCCAAATGAGGACAGCTCCCCAAGATGAGGAGGTGCACCCTGAAGTGACAGGAGTCACCTCATGGGGACCTGATAGCTCCTCCCAAGCGATGACAGATAACAGGAAACAACTTCTCTGAACCCTACAGAACCCAAACTGAGATAAGGACCAACCAGGCCTCACTGAGACCTGTGACATTCCTTTCCCAGTGCCAGAGCAGCACATGGTGCACAGGGCTATCCTGTGTGGACAGGCAGGCACCTGCAAGCCCCACTAGCACCCCAGGAGGCTCAAGACAGACAGGCTTCCCTGCCAGAGGGTGTAGTAAAGCAGAGAAGTCTCACAAGCTGCTGTCTTTCTCCACAGTCACCCAGCTGCTACAATGAACAACTCCTTGCGTCTTGTCACCTCCCCATAACCACTTGGGGTCTCTGCCTTTAGCTGTTCCTAAAGCAGGACAGAAGAGACACTGGGTGCTCAGCCACAAGGTTCAGGGCACAGCCAAAATCCCTTCCAATCCTGCAAGCCACAGAAAGCTGCATCAGGTCCTTTGCTAGGGACAGCTGCGTATCAGATTCTGTGTGTCTGGGAGTACGTTCTAGGTCTGTGCATGCATACATAAGTCAAAAGATCTCAAGCAGAGGTCTGGGCTCCAAAGTGAGTGCTGCCTCACCATCAGATTCCTCTGGGGCCAGCGTCTGCCGGCATTGTCGGCCCCTGGGCTGCCCTGCCCCTCTCCTCCATACTTCCCCTGGCCTAGCCCCCTACCCAGCCTGTACGTGTGCCTAAGGACAGGCAGCATGGACGTGCTGTGACAGCCAGCCTTGCTCAGTCCCTGCAGCCCTCACTGCTGGCAAAGCCACAGGCACAGCCAGCAGACACAGGGGTGTCCAGTCCACACCTGGAGAAGAATGGCAGCCAGGAAGGTCATCCTTGGTGCCAGGCCTGCCTGGGCAGGTAACATGACCCGTTCCATCCCAATAAGTGGGTCAGCTGGGCTGACAGCTCAATAGCCTCTTTATTGGATAGGTTTGAAAGCTACTAAGTTCAAGAGGCCATGAGCCATGGAACTTGTTCTTGCCACGCTTGATGCGAACCAGCAGCCTCCCCCAGGCCCATGAACTTGCACCAACCTGCGGCCACCCCATGTGGACACAGTCAGCTACCCAAGGATCCACGCTGTGCAGGTGACACAGCACAGAGACCTTGGAATGGGCTGGGTTCAGGGGACAGCCCTGTCCAGCCTGCTCTTTGCTGTCACTGAGCTCAAGGACTGACATGCTACCCCACACATCAAGGGTCTTTACCTCCGTGCAGATTGCTGTCCCACCCAGCTGACTCTTCCCTTTTGGATCTCCCTGACCTCATTGAGGGTGTTCAAAATGAGGCGTTGTCTAGATCCTTACAAGCAGGGTCAGGCCAAAACTAAGCTCCCATAAGCAGTGACTTCATGGGCAAAGGAGGTGGGGGGTCCCTATGCAAGCAGGAATTAGGGTGTTTGTCTGATGAGGAGGCTTTTTACTGTTACCCTGTGCCAGCAATTCTAGTCAATGCCAAACTGAGCACCAGTGGCTCACTCCTGTGAGCCTAGCTACTCAGGAAGCTGAGATCTGAGGATCCTGGTATGAAAGCAGCCTGGACAAGAAAGTCTGTGAGGTTCTTATCTCCAATTAACCAGCAAAAAAATAAAAGTAGAGCTGTGGCTCAAGCAGCAGAATGCCAACAGTAAACAAAAAAGCTACAGGACAGTACCGATACAAAAAATAACACATAAATTAAAAAGAAAAACAATGCCAGTAACAACAGCCTCCTCCCCATTAGAAGGACAAGTCCCTGCCCACCCCACCCCAATACCAGTGCACCACTGCCTGTTATAATAATGAGAACATGAGGCCAAGTATGTAATAATATTAGACCAGTTGTGGTCTCAACTACTTGGGAAATGTGAGAGGATCAAGACTTGCCCTAGTCAGCCAAAATTAGCCCAAGATGCTATCTGGAAAATAAATTAAAGGCAAAAAGCGGTGGAGCACTTACAGAGCAAACACAAAATCCTGAGTTCAATCCCAGTGCCATCAAAGAAAAAATTAGACACTGTAATTGCCACTTGCTGAGCCCCAAGGTCAGCACCACAGCGCAGGTGCGTCACCAATCCCCTTGCGACTCTGTAGACCACCCCCATTCTCCAGATACAGAAATGGAGGTCAAAAGAGGTGACATGATTTCCCCAAAGTAACAGTGCTGCAGGTCCCCCAGGACACAGGGGTCAAGCCCAAGACCCAAGCCTCAGCCACTGTGCTGCCGTGGCTCTCTTAAACATGGACACCATGATATAATGGACTGGCATGGAGGCTGAGCTGGAGGAACTGAACTGTCACAGCACCCTAAGGATGCACACAGGGCGCCAGCAAGAATGGGGCCTTTTCTACTGCAAAATGCCAAGAAACCAAGTGCTGGGTTGTGCAGGCTGTTAGCATTATTTTGACTCTGGTGACAGATGCCAATTCCACTTTCTCATACAAAACAATGTGTACAATAGGGAGTGAAGAAAATGACAAACGTGACACCAAAAATTTAAAAATACTTTGGCATGTTAGATAGGAAGGTGGTTCAAGTCTATCATTCTACCTACTTGGGAGGCAGAGATGGGGGTGGGGGGGAATCACAATTTAAGGCCAGCCCAGGCATGAAAGATTGAGAAACTCCATCTCAACCAACTGCTGGGCATGATGGCACATGCCTGCCATCCCCAGTGACATGTGGATGCACAAGTAGGAGGATCACAACCCAGACAGTCCTGGGCATAAAGTGAGACTTTTATTTTGAAAATAATGCCAAAAGGATCTGGAGGTTAGGCTCCAGTGGCACAGCACCTGCTTAGGAAGCACAAGGCCCTGAGTACAGAAATATTACTAATAAACTAATATTTTTATGGCACATCTGTATTAAAATAACCAAGTTTGTTGGCGGTACAGGGTATGCACGTGCTAGGCAATCCTTTATCTCTTGAGCTACATTCCTTAATTTTTTTTTTTTTTGGGTCCGGTCGTGGGCCTGAACTCTGGTTCTGGGCGCTGTCCCTCAGCTCTTCAGCTCAGGCTAGCGCTCTACCACTTGAGCCACAGCACCACTTCCGGCTTTTTTCCTTTTTGCTTATGTGGTGCTGGGGAACTGAACCCAGGGCCTCAGGCATGCAAGGCACGCGCTCTACCACTGAGCCACCTTCCCAGCCCCCATTCCTTAATTTTTTGAGACAGGGTCTCAGCAACTCTGCCAAGGCTGGCCTTGATCTCACAATCACCCTGCCTCCACTTCCTGAATAGCTGGGATTACAGATGTGGACCACCAGGCCCAACCAATAGCCAACTTCTTTCTACCAACTGAATACCAACAGACACAAAGCAGCAGGCCACCAAGGGCTGTCGAGACCTCAAGGCCAAGGCAAGCTAAGTAGCTAGTTCCTGTACCAGCTGCCTGTGCGCCCCCCACCTCAAGAGCTGCCTCTGGCTGCTTTAGTTATCACTGTCCCACTGCACACTGGGGTGCAGCCACTCACCATTGGCCACCTGGTGATGCCATGTGGATTTATGAAGAATTCCTCCACTGTCATTCATCTGACCACTTCTAAGGCCCATACCACATCTAGATAAGACTCTGTGACACAGAGTCCCAGGGCTACCAGGCACAAAGACTGGCTGCCCAAAAACTCTAGGAAAGGCCATTAGGAGCCACTGCAGTGTACCACCTGGTGCCCTGTCCCAGACCAGGAGGTCTCAGAGGAAATGTTCAAAGGCTCACACAGCAGCTCCACTGGCCCCAGAGCAACCCTGCCTTCGCCTGTACCTGTTCCTGTACCATACCTACCTCTGCTCCAAATCCCCAAGCCCCCCAGCCTTCCTCACCTGCTGTGGTGGTGTCCACATCCTTGGCTGTGAGTGCTTCCACGTCGGATCTTTTTCTTAGCTCAAACCTCCGAGACAAACCTTCTCGGGGTTTCCATAACTCCTGGATCAGGAGGGGCTTCTCGTTGTCCCCAAATACCCGGAAGCACTGGGCTTGCCACCTCTGTCCAGAGTCCCCAGGCTGGCCCACCACATCACACAGCACATACTGGCTGGCATGCTCGGGGTCCAGCGAGTAGCGTTCGAGGGCCTCCTTCACCAGCTCCTGGGCACTGGAGGTACCGGTAGCAAGAACACTCTTGTAATGAGTACCTGAGCACACACTGTCACCAAACACCTTCAAGACCCCAGGGGCTGAGAGCTGGGTGGAGAGTTCTGCTGGGTCATCGCTGGCACCCAGGCTACAGAAGGTGGCATCCAGGTCCCTGTACTTGTAGCTCAGAGTACGGGACAGCATGCTTGACAGCAGCTGGCCCTGCCGCTTCAGCTTGCTCTTGGTGGGAGGAGACATGATGAAGTGAGTCCCATAAAACATGGTGGGCAGGTCTTCATGGATGATGTCCAAAGGCTTCAGCCAAAAGGTGTGGAAATGCCAGGGCCTGGGAGAACAAAGTGAGTGAGATCTGTCAGCACCAAATGTCACAAGCATCAGTGCAAATGAGGCTGGGGGGCAGTGGTAACACCTATAATTCCAGCTTTTTAGGAGGCAGAGATCAGGAGGACTGAGGTTGAGGCCAGCCCCAGCAAAAAGTTCGAGACCCCATCTCAATCAACAAGCCAGGCAGGATGCTACCCTTGTGATCCTAGCTACACAGGAGGCCATAAGTAAGATCTTGGTTCACCCCAGGGAAAAATATGAGACCTCCCCCATCTAAGAAATAACCTGAAACTAAAGAGTCATGGAATGTTGCTCTAAGAGTAGAGCACTTTCCTAGCAAGCACAAGGCCCTGACTCCATCCAGCAGACATCCAGGCCAGACCCCAACAAAACTTCTAAGCAGAAGACAGGACTGGAGCCTACGGGCCCAAGTGAAACAGGTCTGATGGGCTGAAGCGTGCTTCTGGGAAAACCATTACTAAGAAGCAGGCTGAGGTCTCTGAAGGTAAGCCACTCCACCTAGGACTCCAAATTCTGGGAAGCACTGGGCCCCAGCACAGGAAGAGTGGCAGCCAGCTGAATGTGGGAAGGCTCGTGCACAATCTCAACAAGAGTGGCTCTGGTCCAAGGCCAAGCCCACCATCCAGCAAAAGCACAGCAGAGAAACATGCTGAACAACCTGGAGGGCAAAGTCTGGCCTCTGTGGACTCGATTTCTCCTACACCACAGTATGGAACCCTGTCACACACAGAGGAGCCAGGGAGATGGCCAATCTGCTGGCACAAAAAGAGTGGCAAGAAAGCAGACTCCCACAATCAGGCAGAAAAGCTGGGTCCTCATAGGAGGACACTACCCTGGGATGCATGTGGCTTAGCAGGTCCACAGCAGACACAATGGGCTCTTCCAGAAGGGGGGAGGCATGCCTGGAATGTGTGTATTCCACCCACCGCAACCAGCAGCAGCCAGACCCAGAGAGCAGGGAGGACTCCGAGAAGCCAGTATCCTAAGCTACAGACTCTTAATCCTAATGCACTGGGTGCCCCATGGGTTTACAGGGAGCATTATCAGTCTCCGTCACAATCCAGGCCAGACAGGAGGGCAGAGAGAAAGGAGGGGACTCTACAGGCTTTGCTAGGAGACATACAAACTGTGAAAAACTAGGCACACGTCTCCTGGTGACCGCACCCCACTTCTGTGTTCATGTCCCAACACAGACCAGTGAGCCAGGCAAGAAGTCATTTCTAGAAGGCTCAGGAAAGAGTAGCTTAGGACCCAGTGCATGGCACTTGTCACTGTGACTGTGGCCAGCCAGCCTATATAGGTCCCTAGCCTTGGAAACTGGGTACTGAGGGCAGAGCATTTAGAGGACCCCCTCCAAAGACCTCAGGAAGCCAACACAGGTTGCCATTGTGAACCAGGGCTCTACCACTGTCCAAACTGCAGGCGAGTTCTGTAACACTCACACTGCCACCTGGGCATGAATGAAGCAACAAAGCAGACCACCATTCAGCTGGCCAGATCACTGGCCTGCTGACCTCCAGGCATTCTGGAGGCCTGTGCCCTTTTAAACACTTCTAATAGCTGCAGACACCGAGGCCTCAGTACCCAACGCACCAGGCTCCAAACACTCTTGGGAGTGACGCACATATTAACATTGTGATGTGTGTTCTCACAGTGAAAATGTTCAAGTTATGTGAGAGATCCATGAAGGAAAGCCAGAGCTAGCTCTGGGTGATCCCAGCTGCTTGGGGGGTAGAGAAAGGATGATCAGGAGTTTCAGGCCAACCCAGGCAAAGTTAGTGTGACAAAATACAAAAGGTCTGGGGTATGACTCAAGTGGTAGAGCACTTGCCTATTCAAATGCAAAGTCCTGCATTCAGTCCCCAGTACTTAAAAACAAGCAAACAAAGAATGTTTGGAAACAAAGGATTCAAGCAGCCTGCAGCTTCTCAAAATCAGCCACAATCCTGCTCAAGAAATTCCCCACCTGCATGTCCCAATGTCCCCTGTTGGCATCAAGACCAATGTACATCCTCAGACCACCAGGTCTCTGAAGCTCAGTGGATCTCCCTGCCAGAGGGTCCCCCAATCTAGACTAAAGTGGGCAAACACCTCGACCACTAGAAGCCTTGGCCTCTGAAGATGGTGTCTAAGTTTCAGGAGTAAACACCAGTCCTTGAGTAAACACCAGTGTTTAAAGGTCCAGATCCAATAGGGAAGTGACTAGCATCTTGTACTTGGGGGTAAACGCAGTTGGGAAATTGTCACTTCCATATTTCTGCTTTAATTTGAAAAAAAGAAAAGAAATGGGAGCCAGGCACCAGTGGCTCATGTCATGCCTGTGTTCCTAGCTACTCAGGAGGCTGAGATCTGAGAACTGAGGTTCAAAGCCAGCCTGAGCAGGAAAAATCTGTGAGACTTTTATCTCTAATTAACCACCAAAAAGCTGAAATGGAGCTGTGGCTTGAGTTGTAGAGCACTAGCCTTGAGCAAAAATGTCCAGGGACAGCACCCAGGACCTGAATTCAAATCCCTGGACTGACAAATACGAGAAAGAAAAATGGAAAACTGCAAGTATGCCCAGTGCTAGGTCCCCTGAGCAACCCCTGCCCCAGCTTGAGCTTCAAGTGCACCTCTCCTTTTTTGCAGCAGCTTCTTGGGCCAGAGTCTAAGACAGAGTTGGGAAAATCTTAAAAAGTAGAAAGACCATGTAAGCTGGGAGAGGGTGACTCATAGCTCTGCAATACATCCTTAAGTCCAACCAGTCCCTGCTAACCCTGAGCCTTATCCATTTTTTGGGGGGGGGTAGGTTCAGAAAACTCTTTTCCCCAGACCACACATGCCATTTCCCTTCCCCTAATGAAGTGCAGAATTCAGCCTGTTTGTCCAAATGGGACAGGAGTGCAGGAAAAAATCTTACAGAGTGGAGCATGCCCTGGGTAACCAGATCTGTTTTTTTCTGGAAGTGTGACCTGCCTTTGCCTTCACTGCCCAATTCTCACCTCGGTCACACAAACACTTGGGGACAGCTCAGGGCCCTGAGAGCTAGGATGCATGCTTTCAGCCAATGTCTCATTTCTGATGGAAAAACAAGCTTAAGTCACAGCAGCAGGACAGTGAGGTCAGTGCCGGCTGACATGGGTGGAGGGACATCTTTCGGTTCCAACAGGACAATGTGGAACCCATTATCATTCCAGCAGGAGGGAAGAGGAAGAGTAAACTGTGCACACAGAGCCTTGTCCCCCAACTTCCATGTACCCTATCTGTACAGCTCCAGTCTGAGGGAGGCTTGTCATGTGAACCCCATTCCATCAGGTCTCATTTTCCCGGAGTTGCTCTCTTGGGAAGGCACTGCCTCCTCCACAGTGGGATTAAGAACTGCCTCCTCCCTGGAATGCATTATTAGGTGCCGAGACACTAGTAATCAAATTCTTTTTGGCAATTCAGATTAGCCAAACACTTGACAGGCGACAGGAGCCGGGGCGGGCAGGTCTGCAGCCCGCCAGGCCCCACCCCTGGGTCCCCAGGGACCGAGGCTAGTCCTTTCCCCGGAGGAGGGGTGAGAGGGGGGGACAGGAGCTCCAGCTCAGCATCTGTCTCCTCAGACGCCACCCTTGATGGGGGGGGGGAGGTGGGAGGGCTGGAAGTGCTACAGAAATAGCTGGGAAACAAGGTCCGTCCCAGGCACCCGGGTGTGGGAACCATGCGTGCAGGGGGACGGGGCGTGGGAGGGAGGGTGCGGGACCCCACGCAGCGCCCCTTCTAGGCACTCCGGGGGGGGAGGGTGGGTAACCCAGGGCCGGGAGTCAGTCCCCTGGGGGGCCGGAAGTCATCCCGTCCCCCTGGGGGGCCGGGAGTTCCTCGGAGCCGAGCGGGGCTCTCCCGGAGGAAGCGGTGGGCCAGGCCACACGCGCCAGCCCGCCTAGGGGTTGCCGCCCCCCCCATGCCCCCGCCTCAGCGCTCGCCGGTTGCCATGGTAACCGCGCAAGCCGGCTTTCCCTCGCTCCCCCTCCCCCTCCCGCGCCCCAATTCGCCGCGGGAAAGATGCACCCGTGCGCCTCGCCCACCCCAAGCGCGCGCCCGGCCGCTCCTTCAGCCTCGGGCTTCCGCGCCCCCCAGGACCCGACGGTCTCCAAGTAGCACAACCCGGACGACCCTCGCCTCCTCCGTCCTTCCTCACGCGCCCCGCACTCACCTCCAGCACAGCCCGCTGCCGCTGCCGCCGCGTCCCCGCGAGGCTCCCACGGCCGCCGTTAACCGGAGCCGGTGCCCGCGACCAGCGCGTGCCGCGGCGCCTCCTGCCGGCCGCGCAACGGGCAAGGCGGGGCCTCTGAGGGGGAGGAGCCGGGAGAGGGCGTGGCCTGGGGGCGTGGCTTCTGGGTGGGACTTGAGAGGAAAGGGTGCGAGGAGAGCCGGCAGCGGGGATCCCGACGTTCGATAGGCAGACACAAGTCTCTAGGGGCGGAGCTTCACATGAAGGGGCGGGGCTAGCCGACCAGGAAAGATGGGTTGTGCGCTGGCGCCCCCAACCGGGTACGGAGATGGGCTCGAGGGGGCGGGGCTTCTAGGAGAGGACGGGCTGGTTTCAGACAGCCCAAGGGGCGGAGCCTCGGTGGGAGGGGCGGGGTCTGTGCTGGACTGCGCCAGATGGGGGTGGTCCGCGTTCTTGCCTCCACATTCTTGCACTCAGAACCATGGCTGCAAGTTTCCTTTTCCCATCCAGTTTTATTACTTTTTGTGCCAGTACTGGGGCTCAAACTCAGGGCCTGTGCGCTATCCTTCAGTTTTTCCTCTTAATGCTGATGCTCTACCACTTGAAGCACAGTTCCACTTCCTTTCCTGCCAGGGCTGGCTTTGAACCATGATCCTCAGATCTCAGCTTCCTGAATAGCAAGGATTACAGGTATGAGCCACCCAGTGCCCCGCTTAATAGGATA